ATATATATAGATATATATATATATATATATATATATATATATATATATTGTACTTAATGTGTTAAAGTTAATTTTATAATTTATTAATAGAGAACCATATTTTGTAAAGAGTTACCTAAGTGAGGTTGCAATTCCTTTTTCAACTTTCTTGTACAAATCCAATAGGTTTTAGTTAATAACTTTAAATTATTTGATAAATCTTCTATTATATTGCTCCTCTCTGTTATTTATTATTTTCATGCAATTGTTTTTTTTTTCTTTTTTTTTTTGGGTAAATTATACACACCCCCTGAGGTATGCTTAAATAACTGTAAGGTCCATGTGGTATCGATAATTACACTTAGCCCCCTGAAACGTAGTCAGAAACTCTAATGGGATAATGAATTGGATACGTTATTCCGATAGGGTTCTAACGGACTATTGGTTTCAGAAAGTGGTGAAGACAACAAAGAGCTATATATATATATATATATATATATATATATATATATATATATATAATAAAGGTTTTTATTTGAAGTAAAGAATTGTTGGATTAAAACACAAAATGTGATAACAAAATTTCAACCTCATAAGTTTCACAAAGGTAGCTAGGTTGATATCTTTGTGTTTGTGTTGTACACGAAGATATATTACTTGCGTTTTCAATGAGGCGTAAATATGGTATCTTTGCATCCGTTTCAAACATAATTATGGACGTAGTGTGTTTGATTCAGTCGCAAAATTTACCAAAAATGCAAACTTTAGCATTGAAATTTAAAAAATTCCTCTCTTCAACCGTTTTATCCTCTAATATATGATAAATTTATGTTCATGTGCAAAATAATATCCTCGAAAACTTTACATAAAAATTGGTTTGAAGAATTAGATGATTGGAGGTAGACACGGCCATGGGCCGGTTTTGGGCCTGGAAGCGGCCCGTTGACAACCCGACGCAACCCGTTGATCGGTGAACCGGCCCGGAACCCGTGAATCGGCCCGTCGTCCCCGGGACAGGCCCGGTTCTATGAAATGGTGAACCGTGAACCGCCAGGCCGACCCGGTGGTTCACCCGGATTTAAAAAAATAATAATTAATAAAAAAATAATAATAAAAAAATAAAAAAATTTCAAAAAAAAAGCAAATAACGGCTAGTGAACCGGCCGTTATTTGTTTTTTCTGAATTCCCCCCCCCCCACACACACACATTTTTTTCTATAAATACTCTCACACCCCAATTTTTCATATAATTTACTTCTTCATCAAATATTTCAAAAAAAATAATAAAATAAAATAAAATAAAAATTCAAATTTTCCGGCCCGACCCGGAACCGGCCCGGAACCGGCGGACCGACTAGGCCCGGCAAACCGTGCATATGACGGGCCGGTTCTGGTTCCGGAAAAAGTGAATCGTGAACCGGTACGAACCGGCCCGGAACCAGCCCGAACCGGCTCGTGGCCGTGTCTAATTGGAGGGTGTTAAATTAAAAAAAAAAAATCAAATTGGGATAAAACGGGTACACAAGTGATAATATTCCATATAATCTCGAAGAGTCCACTAAATTTGAAACCGCAAAGATGGACATGTAAGAAAATTTATAGTTGAGGATGATTGTAATTACTCAAACAGGAGGGAATTTTCGTAACTTGAGGCTGTTTGTCATTTACGGTTTATACAAATATAAATTTGTGTACATTGCATTTGTTTCTTGATTAATTATTATTTTAATTAATTAATCAATGTATTCCCCCTATATTGACCCCAAGTCCAAAACTGCCCAAATAAAACTCCAAACAAGTCAATTCCTGCCCTATACAACGTCCCCATTCTTTCTCTCTCCAACTTTCTCTCTCTAAAATAATTTCTCACAGATCATCAAAAGAAAAGAAAAGATAGAACAACAATGGACAGAGAACAAGAAGAAATCCAATTCCTAGGGTTCTTCGGCATCCTGAAAGAATCCATAACAATAGTTTCATCATGGCGGAAGATCTTCACCCAAATCACACTCGCCCTAATCCTCCCCCTCTCCTTCATCTACTTAGCCCACATCCAAATCTCGGAGCTCCTCTTCTCCAAAATCATGCTCAACGAATTCATCCTCGACAGAACCGCCGAGGGCACCCGCACCCACGACCGCATCTCCGGCGCCCTCTCGTCGGAGTGGACGGCCTTCTTCCTCTTCAAAATCGGATACTTCGTCTTCTTCATCGTCCTCTCCCTCCTCTCCACCTCCGCCGTCGTCTACACCATCGCCTGCATCTACACCGCCAAGGAGATCGCCTTTAAAAAGGTCATGAGCGTGGTCCCCAAGGTGTGGAAGAGGCTCGTCGTCACTTTCATCTGGAACTTCGTCATCGTGTTCGCGTACAACGTCGCCTCGTTAATCGCCCTGTTTTTGGGGGCCGTGTTGTTCGGGTCGGTTCCGGTTATCGGGACGCTTTTTCTGATCCTGTTTGGGGTTTGTTACTTTGTTGGATTCTTTTATATAACGATAGTATGGCATCTGGCTACCGTGGTTTCTGTGTTGGAGGAGAGCTACGGGTTGAACGCGATGGCGAAGAGCCAGGCGTTGATCAAGGGGAAGATGTGGGTGTCGTTTGCGGTTTTCTTCGTCGTCGGCGTTTTCTTCTTCGGGATTCAGCTGATCTTCGAGTTTCTTGTTGTGGTGGGTGGTGATGGAGAAGGGGTTGGTGCTAGGGTTGGATTTGGGATTTTTTGCCTTGTTTTGATGTCGATTTGGATGCTATTCGGACTTATTACGCAGACGATTATTTACTTCGTATGCAAGTCGTATCATCACGAAAATATCGATAAGTCGTCGTTGGCTGATCATCTTGGGGGTTATCTTGGGGAGTATGTTCCTCTTAAATCTAAAGATGTTCAGCTTGAGCAATTTGAAGTTTGATATTTTTAAATTTTTCAATTTTAATTTAAATTATTGGGGTTGTAATTAGTTGTAATGTATGTCTCCACTCTCCATGCTTTCTATTGTTTCATCTTCATATATATATACAGAAAACAAGAAGAGAAAAATAAAAAAAAATTAGCAATTTGTTGGAAAATATATTTTGTTTATTTGAATTGGTGAATTGGATTATAGTAATAATTTGCAGAATTTCCTGTGGTGTATCGGAAATGTTTGATGATGGGTGCTCAACAAGTGTTTGGTGAAATGTCTGAGTGAAAGACACAAAACAAATGATTGAAAGGTGAAGCTCAAGTTATTCACCTTCTCTACAAATGAAAATCTTTATATAAAGGAAGCTAGCAAATAAAACCCCGGCTTATCTCCTTCCTACAATGCAAAATTTGAGTGGTCTAAAACAAAAAATTTAGGGTAAATTACAACCACCCCTGAGATATGGTAAAATTACAAAAATTCCCCTTCTTGTTTGGGTAATTACAACCACCCCCTTACGGTTTCAAATTTAGTGGAATCTTCGAGATTATATGGAATATTATCACTTTTGTACCCGTTTTATCCCATTCGAATTCCACATTTTGAAGCAAGATAATCATAATATATTAATGTGGGTTTTTTTTTCTGGCTTGTATATATCAGATTGTGGTGCATAAAAAACTGTATGTTTAAACAAAACGAGTATAAACTAGAGCATAATCCATGAATGCTAGATGATTATGTTGAATTTGACACCATAAGGGTGGTGGTGTAAGAAAAATATCATAGTAGAAGGGGTAGTCTACCCCGGGTAGATGTAATTATCCAAACAATAGGGATTTTTTTCGTAAATTGACCATATCTCAGGGGTTGGTTGTAATTTACCCAAAAATTTAAAATGAGTCGAAATTGGGTATTTTGTAGCTTTTTAAGTAAATCTAAAATAAACCTTTTCGTAGAATATTTAGCAATTTATAAATCAAATAACAAAGAAATGGGATAATTTAATCAAAAGTTTTAATTTGCCTAATTGGGCAAATTACGGCCATACATCTAAGATAAAGTCATTTGGGTATTAACAACAACTCTCTCACCTATGTATTGTCTTACATATCTATTCTTACGGTGTCAAATTTACCTATTGAAAGAGAGGGTTTTTCGTAAGAGAATACATATGTGAAAGTTATAGTTATAATTACCCAAATATAAAGATTTTTTTGTAATTTGACATTACCTTAGGGGGTTGATCACAATTTGCTAGAATTTGTAATATTTGGATCACATTAGGGTAAATGACATTTTGCACCCTCAAAACTAATGTCATTTAGCACAGTACACCATTAAATTTCAAAAATAGCATACTGCACCATCGAATTATTATTTTCATCGCCAAAAACAGGTTCAACTCTTTGGAAAAAAAAAAAATGTGACCCTTGTTTTGTTCGATAGGAAATGGACAAGACCCTACAAAAACTCATTTTGTGAGAATTGAACGAAATAGGTAAATTTAAGGCACCCGTGCCACTATTTAATAAGTTCAGGTAAAAACTTATAAAATATTTAGTCTAGGGGGTAACGTGCAAAATGCACGATAGTTTGGGAGCAAAGTGCCAGTAATGAGTAACCCTGTTAATAATTTAAATGTTTAACTGAATTATTTTATAAGTGAATCAAGTTTTGAAGATAGTTCACTCTAAAATAAGAGTGGTGCTACTTCCACTTACAAATTATCTCAATTCACCACTAGATTTATATAAAATATCATAAACACCCTTCAAATTTGTAATTAACCATGTTCCCTTGTATTTGTTTATCCTCAAATATTCAAAGTTTTCTTTTCCAATGAAACCTATAAGTATAAAACAAGATTACGCTGAATAAAACGTAACCCGTTTTTCAAATTTTATAAAACAACAATATCAAAAATCTCTAATTTACTTTTTTAAATTTATTTCTACATAAGCGCTCTTAATTTATGTCTCTAATAACGTAAATTTCTGCTCCTTTTAACATTCATGTAGTTTCTCTGACGGCGGTATCCTTCACTTAAGGTGGAGAAGATGGGATTTTGTTGTAAAGATTCTAATCGGAAATGGTGGAGTTTTTTTTGTGAATATTATAATTAATCTGGCGATGGACAATTTATAAATTTGTACAGAATATATGTAAAAGAGGAAACATGAATAAAATAGAAAATATATTTAAATTAGTATTGAAATAAGATATTTTAAGGGTAAAAATAGCACAACACGTCTCTAAAATAAGCGACATATTCTTGCAATGAAACTGAGTTTTGGCTTCGTAGGTTCTGGCTTCGTAATTACATATGATCCATTAGCAACCAACGCAGAGTATCCTCCTCCCATATTTGATACATGTCTGAACTCCTGCAATCAATCAAATTTATGTTTATTAATTAAAAAAGATAAAAAAAAAAAAAAAAAACATTATAACAAATTTCTACATAAAAAATTTGAATAAATTTACACATGAAGAAATTATTAAACTTACAGCGTCACGAAGATCGTTACATGCATGCTCAGATCTTGCTCCATCTTGGCAACCCTAGAATTTGAACATGTTTTAATTAACAAATAAATTCGAAAAAAAAAAAGTTTTAACTTATAAGAAAATAATAAGTATTATTATAAACTCGATTTTCTCATTTATCAAGAATTATGAAAATTACTTACCACGATAAGACGATCTTCTTTGCCACAAACGGCAAGAACCTTGTCGACAAATTTAGGGTTCTTCACCCAGCCTGAATTAATGCCGGTGACAACAATAAATAAAATTGAATTATTATCAACTCAAAGAAAAATAAAAGTGAAAATTCAATTGAGAATTAAAAATATATAGATCTGTAAATATTAATTTAGCAGTACCTTTTTTAGTATAAAACATGTATGGGATATTCAGTGCATTCTCCAGGTGCCCATTATTGAATTCTTCCTTTGTCCTACATATTTCCAAATTCAACCCCAATAAATTAGAAATTTATATATATATATATATATATATATATATATATATATATATATATATATATATATATAGAAGTACAAATGTATGTATCATATACCTGACATCAATGTAACTGGAGCCGCTGAGTAGATACTTAGCAGTAAATGCATCTAAAGTGATGGTTTTTGACCAAGAACTATGTACCCAACCAAAAAAAGAAGAAAAAAAAACATTAACTAAAACATATATATGCTTATAAAAAATTGTTTAATAAAAAAAAAAAAGTAAATTTTTTTTGTATATACATATATATGCTTATTATACCTGATCTTTAGAGTTTCTTCCATGGAGTTTTCCAGCTGGGCCATGTAATTATTTCGCCGGTCCTTCATCGTAATAATAATAATATTAATAAATAAATATTTTTTTGCTTTCCTTTTTTTTTTGGTTGAATGAAAGAGTAGTGGTGTGAAGTGTGATCGATCTGTTCTTGAACTATATATAAATATTTCCGTAGGGTTGCAATTTTACTTGTCGTGCTAGCTGGAGATGACACATATATAATGCAATATTAAATCTCATAAGGATAAACTCGTTTAATCTATATATACTTTTTTCCAATTATTTTGTGGTGTGTATCTATAGTCAACTTTGCTTATTTAAATTATTCATGTATTGAAATGGCAGCCAAGTAGTTTCATTCTATATTCTAAGTTTGTTTCTTTTGACATTGTCGAAATTGTTGACATTCTAATTAATGTAACCCTTTTCAATACTTTGAATATTCTAACTAAATTAAACTCACATACAATTAGATTTTTCTTGTAGTTTAATTTGGATGTATGCATAATGTGTATATTGAATTTTTTTAACAAGAGATTTGTGATTGCTCATATATATATATATATATATATATATATATATATATATATATATATATATATATATATATATATATATATATATATATATATAATAATAATAATAATAATAATAATAATACTAATAATAATAATAATAATATATAGCTACAAATTTTTGATATGTTTCCGATTCCCTCAACAATTATCCTATTCGTACTATATATGTAAACATAAAACATGCATGTTGAGAACATAAATGTATTTTTACTTCATTTTTTAAATGAAGTAAGCTTGATAGTTGTGCTTCTGCTCTAAAATGTTGGGTCAAGAGTCCTTGCCACGCGTTTGGCATTCGAGGTAGTCAAAGGGACTGCTCCACTCGTTAATATAAAAAACAGTTGAAAACACTATGTGACACGCCGTTCCACTCGTTAATATACAAAGCAAGTGAAAACACCTCCACTCGTTTATATACAAAACAAGTGAAAACACTATGTGACACGCCGGGGTGGTCCGGTGATTGTTCTCCGACGCTCAAGTCAAAAAACTATCACAATATAAGCAAATAATATTAATTAATTGCCTAGATAGTGCTTACCTTGTTATGTGATTGATAACACATATTTATAGGTCGAGTTTAGTATGGTTTTCTTGTAGAAAACCAATGTGGGACAAAAACATTAGATTTCTTCCCATAGCTTCTTATGAAGTTCTTAATTAAATGCCTTTGTGTTGGGCTTTTCGTTTCAATGAGCCTCATGGGCTTTTTGGGTTAAAACCCAATTAGACACATCAGACATGAATTGTTGCTCGTTTCTTATTATTTTTTAATTAATTTTATGTGTTTTTGGTGTTTTTAGTGTTTTTATGGGCTTACATGCGTAAAGGATGATGAATAGCGGGTAAAAAAAAATACAAACTAAGAAATAAAATCAAGTTATATATCGGAACTGAGATAACGCTTTGTGTCCTTAACTTCTTAAACCATAAGAGAGTTCCCTCAAAGCTTAACTTTACCCACATTGTTTTTTATCCCAAAGATAAAAAAGCCAAGCATGATCACTGAGTTTCGCCCCATTAGCCGTAGTAATGTTGCAGCTTACAAGATAGGGTCCAAAATGATTACCAATCGGATCAAACCTTTTCTAAAAAAGATTATATCCCCTTCCCAATCTGCCTTCGTTCCCTATCGCCTTATTACAGACAATGTTTTAGTGGCCTTAGAAGTGAATCATTATATTAAAAAACAATGGTAAAAGCCAAGGATGGTGTTATGGCTCTCAAACTTGATATTAGTAAGACATATGACAGAATAGAATGGAGTTTTCTTCGTGAAGTTCTTATCAAACTTGGTGGTTTTAATGATAACTTTGTGGAACTCATTATGTTATGTGTTTCTACGGTCTCTTACTCGTTTCTTTTGAACGGCTCACAATTTGGTTCATTTTATCCATCGAGAGGGATCCTATCGACAAGCTAAGGAGACCCCTTGTCACCATATCTTTTTATCGTGTGTGTAGATGCTCTCATTGCAATGTTAATTAAATACCCAGGAAGCGAGAGGAGAGATTTATGGAGTTGAAATTGCTCCTGGAGCTCCTACTATTACAAATATGTGCTTCACTGGTGATAGTTTGATTTTTTGTTGTGTTATAGCGCAAGATGTTGAGGAGATCAAATGTACCCTGAATAAATATGCAAGGAGATATTGAAACAATCCTTGGGTTTCGAGTAGCTGAGAGCCACGACAGATACTTGGGGTTGCCGGTAACGATTGGAAAAAATGAAGGAGATATTTAGCTACATTCGAGATAGAGTATGGGCAAGAGTCAAAGGCTGGGGTGAGAAATAGTTATCGAAAGCTGGAAAAGAAGTCTGATGTGTATAATTGGATTTAGGCCCAAGATGCTCAAATTGGCCCATCTAGAGGAAAAATCCAATTAACACTCTTAATTACATTCAACTTGTCCCACATTGGTTTATAACAAGAAAACCACATCAAACTACACCTATAAATATGTGTTATCATACACATAACAAGGTAAGCACTATTTAGGCAATTAATTAATATTATTTGCTTATATTGTGATAGTTTTATGACTTGACCGTCGGAGGACAATCGCCGGGCCACCCCCGGCGTGTCACTTAGTGTTTTCAACTGTTTTGTAGGTTAACGAGTGGAGCGATCCCTTCGACTACCTCGAACGCGTGGCAAGGACTCTCGGCATTCCCGATATTGGGCTTGAAGATTCCCGGACTTAGAAGACCTGTGGGCTTCAAGACCATTGGGCTGACCCATCATTTTTGGAGCAACATCATTTTGGCGCCGTCTGTGGGAAGGCAAACTAGATCACGTGTCATGACGAAGAGGATCAAGGCGATCCCAACCACTCGCCTCGAAGAGCGGAATAGTCTTAGAGCTTCCTCGATGAAGCGACGGAGTCTCAGAGCCGCCCCGAAGAGCGGAAGAGTCTTAGAGCCGCCCGCCTCGAGGAAGCGACGGAGTCTCAGAGCCGTCCCGAAGAGCGGAAGAGTCTTAGAGCCGCCCGCCTCGAGGAAGCGACGGAGTCTCAGAGCCGCCTCGAAGAGCGGAAGAGTCTTAGAGCCACCTCGAGGAAGCGACGGAGTCTCAGAGCCGCCCCGAAGAGCGGAAGAGTCTTAGAGCCGCCCGCCTCGAGGAAGCGACGGAGTCTCAGAGCCGCCCCGAAGAGCGGAAGAGTCTTAGAGCCGCCCGCCTCGAGGAAGCGACGGAGTCTCAGAGCCGCCTCGAAGAGCGGAGGAGTCTTAGAGCCGCCTCGAGTAAGCGACGGAGTCTCAGAGCCGCCCCGAAGAGCGGAAGAGTCTTAAAGCCGCCTCGAGGAAGCGACGAAGTCTCAGAGCCGCCCCGAAGAGCGGAAGAGTTTTAGAGCCGCCCGCCTCGAGGAAGCGACGGAGTCTCAGAGCCGCCTCGAAGAGCGGAAGAGTCTTAGAGCCGCTTCGAGGAAGCGACGGAGTCTCAGAGCCGCCTCGAAGAACGGTAGAGTTTTAGAGCCGCCTCGAACCAAAAGAACTACGGGAGCGGCCAACGAAGGTGGTCAAGGCGATCTCCACCAACCGCTTCAAGGTAACGCTGGAGTCATAGAGCCGCCTCGAAGGAAGAGAACAACGGGAGCGGCCAACCTTGCGGGATCTTCAGCGCCGGTCATTTAGATGACTGCAGAGGAATTACACACCTTAAAAGAGTATCGCTCGACAGCCAAAGTTATTTCTCCGAACGAGCTCCTCGAAGAGGCTCACCACCACTCGCCTCAGTGTAGCGCATCCTCAGATCGTGAGCCTCGAAGATACGCTCGCCACCAATCGCCTCATCACAACCCATCATCGAACCGCCCCCTTCGAAGAGAAGCTCGCCGCCGGTCACCACGCCCCGTGAGGCAGAGGGCTCCTCCAAGGGAGAGAGCGGCGCATAGCCGTCGAGAGAGAAGTGTTTCTTCTCGGCCGGGTGTGGCACGCCACGAATCACGATATGACAGGAATAGCGAGCGCTCCTTTCGCCATAGAGACTCTATTGGAAATAAATTTGGAAGTAGATATTCCCAATCTGAAAAGAAAATGAGCCGTGAGGGCATTGATGACCGTAACTCAAGGAGACCTCGACGAAAAGCTTCGACGCCAACGACCGCTCGCTTTGAAACATTCCCCGCTCGAATAAGCCCATTTGTTCCTGCCATTATGGAAGAAGTCTTACCTCTCGGATTTAGGATCCCCAATCTACCCCAATTTGACGGGACCGGAGATCCCCAAGAACAGTTAAATAACTTTTACGCCAAGCTTGACCTCTACGGCCTCAGTAACGCAGCTTACTGCAAGATTTTTCAGACTACGCTGACTGATCAGGCACAAGATTGGTTCAACGGCTTGCCCGGAGGGTCCTTAGACAATCTGGACCAACTAGCGACACATTTTCTTAACCACGACTCAATGAATAAGAAATATGCCAAAACTGGATCGTATCTCTTCAAGGTCATACAACGAGACGGAGAGCCACTCAGAGATTACATACAACGATTTGTCAAAGCAGTACATGAAGTGCGCCACGTTACTCACGAGATGTTAGTCGGCATACTACAACAAAATTTGAAGCATGTTCGTTTTCGAGAGTCCATCGCGGGCCGACCCCCTAAGACCCTGGAGGAGCTCTTGAACCGCGCTGGGAAGTACATACGGATTGAGGAGATCACGGAGATGAGAGTACCCCTTAAACGAAAGCGCGACGTGGAAAGCCACAACTATAATAGAGAAGAAGAGAGACATCCCATCGAAAATCGCACCTTCGGG